CGGGCTGGCCCATATCGGGAGGTGCAGTCGAATAGATAAGTTGGGCCTGAACTGTTCAGGGCTTTAAAGGTTAAAACCAGCACCTTGAATTGTGTCCAGAAGCACACTGGTAGCCAATGGAGCTGCTGCAACATGAGGGTTGACCTCTCCTGTACGGCGCTTTAGTAAACAACCAGGCCGCAAATCTTTGAACCAACTGAAACTTCCAAAGGGTCTTCAAGGACAGCCCTACATAAAGCACATTATAGTAATCCAGACCAAATATGACAAGGGCATGGATCACCGTGGCTAGATCTATTAATTCTATTTTGATATTTATATGTTTTAGATTTTTGTCACACATTGTTTTGGTTTGTAATGTTAGCTGCTTTGACTCTATTATTATTATTGTATTTATATGTATTTATACCCCACTTTATCACTCCTAAAGGGGACTCAAAGCGACTTGATATAAAAGCAACAGCAGAACAGTTTAAAAATATACAATATACCAACATTAAAACAGGATTAAATATAACCAGCATTTTAAAAAATCCCAGTTAAAAACCATTAAAACACATTCACCATCTTTATCCCCAGATGCATGGACACTATTTTTAGAAAAGAATTGTCAGGGGAAGGGAGTCTTATTTTGAATAGTACAAAGAGTTACTTGCACATGTATGTAGCTGCCAGGGCCGTAGCCAGAAAAAAATTTCGGGGAGGGTTGACAATTTCAGGGGGGGGGGTGTTGAAATTTGGGGGGGGGGGGTGAAAATTTTGGGGAGGGTTGAAAATTTCAGAGGGGGGGGGAGTTGAAACCTGCCTCCTAGCTCATGCCGAAGCAAAGAGCACAGCAGGGGGCAGAGCAACCTGTCAACCACCTCCACCAAGTCTGGCCTCCTTAATTATAGCATTCAACACACACACCCCCAATTTGGTTGCTTCACTACATCGGCTATTGCTGCAAGTAATGACAGTGTGAATAAATTGTCAATATTTGCTTGAGATAGTGCTTACAGTTCTGGAGGGACTCTTAATTTTTTACATCTCATAGACTTAGCATGGGGATTTGGTTAACCAGTTAAAATTCATGAGTAAACCAGTTTTTTTAAAAAAAATCTGAAACATTTCAGGGGGGGGGGGGTTGAACCCCTAAAACCACCCCCTCGCTACAGGCCTGGTAGCTGCATATGTCTCGTGTTGTTAATCAAGAAGGTCTGACCTGGCAGGCATTGCTTCCAGTATACATTCGCATAAAATGGTTTCTCTGAAGACTTATGTAATATTTTTTTCTGAATATTTTTGCTGATATGACAATTCCTTTCTGCCATAATTGTAAACCCAGAGAAAATAACCATGTTCACAGCAATAAATATTTACATATTTTAAAACCATGCTTTTATGTGTGTTTTCAGTTGTGCAGGGGATGTTTTTATTCTCCCAACAGTTTTGTTTTGGTCTTCTCTGTGGGAAGGCAAGTTCCTCCCATTTATGATCTCTACTTTAGGTTCTGAGAGAAAAATAGGATGCTTTTAAAGCCGTTTCTACATAGGTGCATCCTATTATTGAAGAAGCTTGTCAGGGAGGCTTTGAATACTGGTTTTGCAGAGGGGGAGAATCTGTTTACTGGCAGAGTTTTTAGAAGCTGCATCTATTTATAGCTGCCAATGAGGCCTTGTGGGATCTATTTCTGCAATGATTCTTTCTCCTTACGGAACTGTTCATTTGTTATAAACAATCCAGAATGCCACAGTGATATGTTACAGCTGCTCTTGGTAGTTTTCTATAAGCTGTTATCTAATTTGAAATTTCTTAATTTGATGATGTTATATCTATGCATCTAAGTACATAGTATGACACCAGTGGTTCCTGTTGAGCCAGTTGCTAGACCAGTATCTTGTAATCTTTTTTATTCCATTGTAACTTGTGACCTTTATATTTTCTCTTCATTTGCTGTCTACCAATTGATCTATTTGTATGCCGTCTAAGAGTAATGCAACATGCAGTTGATGAACTGGGCTGAAGTCTACCAGAATATGTACCACGAATTACATTTTAAAGGTTCTGCAGAACTCTTTCATTGTTTTAGCACATTATAGACACAAAATCATCAGCCTCGCACTGAGCAGCAGGAGGAAATACATCACTTTTCTGAATGCATTCGGTTAAAACAGCCAATGGGTTTGCCGTCATTTCTCTTTTAAAAATATTTTCAGGAAATTAAGTACGGTTTCTGTCCGTTTTCTATGGCATCCTCATTGCAAGACCATACTTATTAAAACATTAATTAGCTTTTTGTTGTTGTTCATTCGTTTCTGACTCTTTGTGACCTCATGGACCAGCCCATGCCAGATCTCCCTGTCGGTCGTCACCACCCCCTGCTCCTTCAAGGTCAATCCAGTCACTTCAAGGATACCATCCATCTTGCCCTTGGTCAGCCCCTCTTCCTTTTTCCTTCCATTTTCCCCAGCATAATTGTCTTCTTCTCATGATGTGGCCAAAGTACTTCATCTTGGCCTCTACTATTCTTCCCTCCAATGAGCAGTCAGGCTTTATTTCCTGAAGTATGGACTGGTTGGATCTTCTCGCAGTCCAAGGCACTCTCAGAGCTTTCCTCCAACACCACAGTTCAAAAGCATCTATCTTCCTTTGCTCAGCCTTCCCTATGGTCCAGCTCTCACATCCATAGGTGACTACGAGGAATACTATTGCTTTAACTATGCGACTTTTTGTTGCCAGTGTGATGTCTCTACTCTTCACTATTTTATCAAGATTGGTCATTGCTCTCCTCCCAAGAAGTACACTTCTCCTGATTTCCTCGCTGCAGTCTGCGTCTGCAGTAATCTTTGCATCTAGAAATACAAAGTCTGTCACTGCCTCCACATTTTCTTCCTCTATTTCCCAGTTGTCAATCATTCTTGTTCCCATAATCTTGGTTTTTTCTATGTTTTGCTGCAACCCAGCTTTTGCGCTTTCTTCTTTCACCTTGAATAGAAGGCTCCTCAGCGTCTCCTTGCTTTTGGCCATCAAAGTGGTGTCATCTGCATATCTAAGGTTGTTAATGTTTCTTCCAGAAATTTTCCACCCCAGCCTTGCATTAATTAGCTACCTTTCACCATTGTAGATACCGTATCACAGTAGTTAAGAGTCAGTATCATGTGGTTTGATCTCTAACTTTGAAGATCAGAGAGTTAATGCTGCCATTGAAACTTACTGGGTGACGTTGAGCAAGGTATACTCTCCCAGCCTCAAGGAGGCAGCGGCAAACCCTCTCTAAAACCCTATGATAGGTTTACTGTCAAAGCTTCAATAAGTTGGAACTGACTTGAAGGCAGACAACAACAAATGATTAAAACAAGGCAGTGAAAACATGTAATCTGTGTCTCCATGAAACATGCAGCATCTCCATTAAAACAAACTCAGTGATTTAAAATGCTTTTACAAAAAGACTTGAGCTGGTGTCAGGATAACTAATTGGGCACCAGTCCTGCCCCTGGAAGATGAGTGGTCTTGATGTGTAGGTGCCTAAGTCCCACTTGATACAGTATATTCCTGCAATACATGGGGAACAGACTCTCTCACAGTCTTCTGTCTGGCATCAGGAGGGGTTTCCTTCTAAATATTTTGGGTCTGAAGCAATTTTGAACTTCTGACGGTACACATCAGCTACTTAAGTTGGCCTTTGGTTAAAATAGGCAGCTAGTGCATCTCCCTTAAATTGACGCAATAGGACTTCATCTGGTTAGTTCTGATTACTCTGCTGTGAAACTTTCAGTTCATCTTCGAAGTCATGTTATACATGATATTATAATAAACATGGGGTTTCCTGGTTATGAAGCACCGTGGCCAGATTGTCAGGTAAAAGGCATCCCAAGCTACTGAGAATCGCTGGGCCTTAGTTAATGAATGAAAAAGTTGGAATTGTTTCATGAGAAAGAAATCCCATATAAGACACGCATACCTAATTCTGAGATGTGACAGACACCTAATACAAAGCTGTCATCTTGTTCTGATTCAGTTTCATTTTATGAGTCCACAAATAGTCTCAAGAGCAGGGGTTCATCATTTGCACAGTCTCACCTGATTCAGGTAACAAGATAGAGAGTTGGCATCAGTCTATCTGTGGTACCTCACTCATCCAGTGATTTCAGGCAGATACGGAATGGCAGAGGTGATAGCTGTCTTAAATTTTCCTCCAATTGATGTACAATGCCATAATTCAGACACATTTAAGCAAAAGTCTAGTGTGGCTTTCTCAAATGGACTTTGGAGTGGAATAATTTTGCTTTGAATGCTCACCCAAGTTGATCACTTAGATGTTAGTGTGGATATGTCTAAGATCTACAGAGACACTCGCTGGAACACCTCAGCAAGTGAGAGTCCAAAAGTGGCAGGCTCAAACCCAGAACCTCAACCAATGGCTGATACCAAATGAGAGACTCCCCCCTGGGCACACAGAGGACTGGGCAACTTGGAAGGCGCTGAACAGACTGCGCTCTGGCACCACGAGATGCAGAGCCAACCTTCAGAAATGGGGCTACAAAGTGGAATCCACGACATGCGAGTGTGGAGAAGAGCAAACTACAGACCACCTGCTGCAATGCACCCTGAGCCCTGCCACATGCACAATGGAGGACCTCCTTGCGGCAACACCAGAGGCACTCCAAGTGGCCAGATACTGGTCAAAGGACATTTAATCAACTACCAAACTCACACATTTTGTATTTTCTCTGTTTGTTTGCTTTGTTCTGTTAGAAATGTAATATATTTGACTGGCTGCCCTGACACGAGAAATAAAGTGTGGATATATAGACCTGTGCAAAACAACAACATTCACACCAGTAGCAAAATTGCAGTTATGAAGTAGCAATGGAAATAATGTTATGGTTGGGGGTCACCACAACTTGAGGAACTGTATTAAGGGGTCGCAGCATTAAGAATGTTGAGAAACACTGTTCTAAAAAAAGTAAGGTTTAGTTTGATGGCTAGTAAAAAATGTGACGCTGCTTCAAGATGAGTTTGGTTGAGCTGCTGTTATGCAGCCTCTTTATTTAAAAACAACAACGAAACAATCTTACTAAAATGTTGATTCAAAGGAATCTATAATAAATATTTGCTTCCCTTTTGCTTTGCTCTTCCGAGCACAACTACACCTAAAGTAGCTGGTTGAAGAGAAGTAACCTCAGTATACCAATCAAGAAATAAAACGAGAGAAAATGTATGCAACAACACTAAATAGCAGTTTCTATACAGGATAACAGTAAATCCTTTAAACAGAATATTTTACAAAGTAATGTTTGTTTTTTCACAAAGTTCGCACTCTTCCCTTTCTGAAGTAGCGTTGACTCCCAAAGTCATTGCCTTTAACATTCCCTTTCAGAGAGAAATGCCTTGTGGTCATGAAAATCATTTATTCCACCTTTGCCCCTTTTTTGGTGTCTGTGAAACTGGAAGTATAAAGTCATTTATGGCTTTCTTCAATTGCAGAGTCCATGAAAGATCAGCAGATTTGGCTGGTGCATCTAACATCAAGAATAATTAAATCAAACACTGCTTTGTGGGTATCATGCAGCTTGCCCGAACAGTCTCTGTTTTGCGTAGATTGTCTTTGTTAATGGATTGCTACAGTAAACACACAGGTAACTCATTTCCTAAGTGTTTGATGGAATCAGCATTTCCGTGATCCATTAATCTTGTGTTTGACATTCTCCATGTTATGAATCTGCATTGTGTGAATTAAGGGAACTGCAAAAATGAATCACTCTTGGTGTTTCCGAGAGGACGAAATGTAACTTCCTTTCTTGTAAAGGGGAAAATAAAACTTAGGCCACTGACTTACAAGAAGACAGGGTTAGCTGTGAGATAAAGCATTTATAATTCAACAAAAAGCTACATGTAAAGTAGCTGTCAATTCCCTTTTGAAGCAGACCAGAATAAGCTTTATCAGTATTAAAGTGGTCAAACTGCTGAGGAGATGTATACAATTTGTGGAAAGCTATATGAAATAAGTCCCTTCTTAAGGTTCCATTGGAATATTATACATTTTATCCATCTCTTTAAAAAGAAATAACAGATTGAAGACTCCAGCATATTACAACCTGCAATTTCAAAATTCCCTTTTCTTCCATCCCAAAGCAAACAAAAAAACTTAAAAATTGAATTAAAACCAGTGTTTTTCAAGTCTGCGTCTGTACCTTGATGTAGAAATGGTGCAGAAAAAAAATATTTTGAGCTCTTGTGTGATGTGTTGAGTGTAGGAAAAAAAATCAACGAACTAACCTAACTATACAATGCTGGTGGTACGTGTGAGTTGTAGGCGCTGTCAACGGAGTCTGGACAGGCGGGGAGCAATCAAACTGTCTGGAAAGCGCGACTTTGGGCCGGAGCCATCATTGCTGTGGCTTCTGCCTTGATGACATTGGCCGGGTTGGGTTTCTTGGGCTCTGTTTCCCTGCCGTCCATCTCCAGGTGGCTGTGTTGCGTGGGGGTTATGTGTGGGGTGGCCTCGGTGGACAACGTCTGTTGGCTGCGGGAGGCACTATTTGCCGTTGACCTGGTTGAGGAGGACCCGGAATGGGAACTCCTGGATCCAGAAGAGGAAGACCCCGGCTTGACTAAGCGAGCTTTGGGGGCCTCAGCGTCTTCTCTGTAACCAAAAAGAGGCAGAGGGATTAAAAGTGTTGAAGAATGAGGACCAAAGGAGTCATGCAGAATGAATTTGATAGTTAATACAGCATGTTGATGAGTGGTTTGCCAGGTGTAAAACGCTATTAAAGTCAGCCCTCCACATTTGCTGGGTTTAGGAGCACAGGATCTCCATGAAAGTGGAAAGCCGTGAAACAAGAAATTGCTATTTTTTAAACTTCTCTGGGATATTCAAGGTCTTTGAGCACAACTCACTTCCATTGCACTGGAAGGCCTAGAGATTCCTAGGGAGGAGTTCTTTCTAGCATGATTGGAGAAAGTTGATCATACAATCAGGCTGGATCACTTAGAGATTCATAGAGATAATCAAATGCATTTTTCCATGTCAGGAGCACCTTGACAAAGGGCAAGTCGCTTCTGATGTGAGAGAATTGGCCGTCTGCAAGGATGTTGCCCAAGGGATGCCAGGATGTTTTTTTTGATGTTTTACCATCCTTGTGGGAGGCTTCTCTCATGTACCCGCATGGGGAGCTGTAGCTGATAGAGGGAGCTCATCCGCGCTCTCCCCAGATTCGAACCTATGACCTATCGGTCTTCAGTCCTGCCAGCACAAGGGTTTAACCCACTGTGCCACTGGGGGCTCCAAATTCATGTCCAAATTATCAAATTCCTGAATAATCAATTCTGCAAAGGTCAAAAATGGCAAATGTGAAGAGCTGATTTTAATTCCTTTTTCCACACCATAGATTCAGTCATCCTCAGCTTGAAAATATTAACCAAAAATCCAAAAAACCTGATGTCATTTCATTTAAGTGGCATAATTTATCACACCATTGTATATAAAGGGACTTGAGTATTCATAGGTTTGTGTATCTACTCTCCCTTTTTCTCTTGTGTCTTGAAACCAAACCCCATTGGATACCAAGAACCCATTGTATATGAGACGGAGCATGGATTTACTTGGTCTGATTTTTGTGGAAAGGCTTCTCACAACATCGGAAGGAAAGCTGAGTATAGAATTAGACATGAACTGGAAAACCAGATAAAGAGTATTAGTTTCTGGCTATAAAAATTGGTTTCTGTAACCACCAAGTACACAAGTAATTTAGGTATTACATGAAAAGAGCATCCCTGAAGCCAGAAATAGCCTATGCCTCAGGTAGCATCAGCAACATGTAATTTACTTTTTGTAGGAAGGTTGAGAAACACTGATCTAGAGGGTTTTTTTAGGTTTCAGGATGACATGGTTTCTGGGACTTCCTTTTTTCTTAATGTTGTAATCTTGCAAACTGTTGAGGGAAGGCAGGACAGGAAAACAAGTCATGTCCTGGCATGGAATCTAACACTTCTGGACTTAATAGAGTCACTTGTAAAGCTTGAATTATTTCTTTCAGCTGGAGACTGGGACAAAGAATGTGCCTTCAAGTCGCCTGTCAACTTATAGTGGCGCCATGAATTTCAAATGGATTTCTTAGGCAAGGGATACTTGGAACTGGTTTTGCTAGTTCTTTCCTCTGAAATGTAGCCTATAGCCAGTCTCCCATCCAAATCCTCAACAGGACTTTCCCTACTTAGTTTCTGAGATAAGATTGGGTCGGGTGCTTCAAGGGCATCTAAAGTCATGGGACAAAGAAGGGTGCCAGTATTTACAGCATATTCACTTGTGCAAATCAAATATGCATTATAGAATCATAGAATTAGAAGAGACTTCGTGGGCCATCCAATCCAACCCCCTGCCAAGAAGCAGGAAAATCACATTCAAAGCACCCCTGACAGATGGCCATCCAGCCTCTGCTTAAAAGCCTACAAAGAAGGAGCATCCACCACAGTCCGGAGCAGAGAGTTCCACTGCTGAATAGTTCTCACAGTCAGGAAGTTCTTCATAATGTTCAGGTGGAATCTCCTTTCCTGTAGTTTGAAGCCATTGTTCCGTATCTAGTCTCCAGGGCAGCAGAAAACAAGCTTGCTCCCTCCTCCCTGTGGCTTCCTCTCACATATTTATACATGGCTATCATATCTCCTCTCAGCCTTCTCTTCTTCAGGCTAAACATGCCCAGCTCCTTAAGCTGCTCCTCATAGGGCTTGTTCTCCAGACCCTTGATCATTTGAGTCGCCCTCCTCTGGACACATTCCAGCTTGTCAATATCTCTCTTCAATTGTGGTGCCCAGAATTGGACACAATATTCCAGGTGTGGTCTAACCAAGCAGAATAGAGGGTAGCATGACTTCCCTGGATCTACACAGTATACTTCTATTTATGCAGACCAAAATCCTATTAGCTTTTTAAACCGCTGCATGACATTGTTGGCTAATGTTCACCTTCCTCCCTGCGAGGACTCCAAGATCTTTTTCACGCATACTGCTCTCGAGCCAGACATCGTCCCCTATTCTGCATCTTTGCATTTCATTTTTTTCTGCCTAAGTGGAGTATTTTGCATTTGTCTCTGTTGAACTTCATTTTGTTAATTTTGACCTGTCTCTATAAATCAGAGGTCCTCAAACTAAGGCCCGGGGGCCAGATACGGCCCTCCAAGGTCATTTACCCGGCCCTCACTCAGGGTCAACCTAAGTCTGAAACGACTTGCAAGCACACAACAACAACAACAATCCTCTATCAGCCACACTTTCCACACTTTCCATTGAAATACTAGTAAGTTTATATTTGTTAAAATTGTTATTCATTTTAACTATTGTATTCTTTTTACATGTTTTTGCACTACAAATAATACATGTGCAGTGTGCATAGGAATTCATTCATGTTTTTTTCACATTATAATCCGGCCCTCTGACAGTTTGAAGAACTGTGACCTGTCCCTCTGTTTAAAAAGTTTGAGGACCCCTGCTCTAATCTGTTATGTTGCTGATAAGATTTGTTATTTGGCTGGTTTGTGTTGTTGTTACCTTACTTGTAAATGCTATGAACATAGAAATACATGATGATAATACTAATAGCCTTTGTATCATGTACACTCACTAAATCGAAAGGTGTTGAAACTGAACAGAAGATGACAAAAGAGAAATAGAAAGGACAGGAAAAATATGCAAGTGAGGGGCATATGGGAAAAACTCAGCTAGGATTGAGAAAAAAACAACAACAGTTTAGCTCAGGCATAGACAAACTTTGGACTTGAACTCTCACAATTCCTAACAGCCTGTAGGGAAGATGGGATCTTTTTCAGTGTGACAAAGACGTTGAAATCAACTACATGATTCAATTCTTGAAGCAATTGATGTGAAATGAGGTCAGGCTATCTAGAAGGAAAGAAACCACCCAGGGTTTTTCCGCTCAAGGGAGTGTAGTCTGAATCATAAAGAAAGTGCAGGAAACGCCTATTGAAGGCTGATGTGTCAGAAAAAAAGGGAGAAAGCAGGTCTTGTAAGTTACTTATACATGCCCTATCACCTAGGAGTGTAGACAGATAAGATTTCAGAATAGTTAAGGAAATTCAAACTAAAAGTAGGTGTAAATTACTTGCAGGGCAGTTTATGACACTGAATCTTGGAGGCCTCTCATCAATCGAGGTGCCACAAGGCAAAGTCAGCAGCAAATAAAAAGAACCAAAAAATTACACCCTGGTTGCATATCAAAGAACAACAACTGTTCCTGGGGAGAGTGCAAAGAGGGTTCTTTGTATATTTCCTTCTGATTCTATCCTTCTGCTTGTTGTGTGCCTTCAAGGCGTTTTCCACTTATGGTGACCCTAAAGCAAAGCTATCATGGGGTTTTCTTGGCAAGATGTATTCAAAAGAAGTTTGTGCTTGCTTTCTTCTGAGGCTGAAGGAGTGTGACTTGCCCAAGGTCATTCTATGGACTCCCATGGCTGAGCCGAGAATCAAACTCTGATCTCTAGAATCTTAGCGCAATGTTCAATCCACTCCACCACACTGGATCTACCAAAATATTATTTTTCAACCTACAACTGTACAAGAGGCAAGTGGCTGAATTTCTCCATTCCTCTTGATCAGTGGTTCCCAACCATTTTTTGACCAGGGACCATTTTGACCAGGGACCATTTTGACCAGGGAACATTTTGACCAGGGACCACTTTGACAAGGGACCATTTTGACCATGGCCCACTTCAACCAGGGACCACTTGACCAGGAACCACTTTGACCAGAGACCACTTTGACCAGGGACCATTCTCCAACATCAGTACCAAAACGGTTACAAATCAGTTTTTGGTCAACTTTAGATTCAGTTGACCAGGGACCACTTTGACCAGGGACCACTTTGAACAGGGACCACTTGACCAGGGACCTTTGACCAGGGACCACTTTGACCAGGGACCACTTTGACAGGGACCACTTTGATCAGGGACCACTTGACCAGGGACCACTTTGACTAGGGACCATTGACCAGGGACCACTTTACCAAGGGATCACTTTGATTAGGGACCACTTGACCAGAGATCACTTTGATTAGGGACCACTTGACCAGGGACCAATTTGTCTAGGGACCACTTGACCAGGGACCAATTTGTCTAGGGACCACTTGACCAGGGACCACTTTAACTAGGAACCACTTTGACTAGGGACCACTTTGACCAGAGATCACTTTGATTAGGGACCACTTGACCAGGGACCAATTTGTCTAGGGACCACTTGACCAGGGACCAATTTGTCTAGGGACCACTTGACCAGGGACCACTTTGACCAGGGACCACTTTGGCCAGAGACCATTTTGACCAGGAACCACTTTGACCAGGGACCACTTTGACCAGGGACCACTTTGACCAGGGACCACTTTGACCAAGGACTACTTTGACTAGGGACCACTTGACCAGGGACCACTTGACCAGGGGCCACTTTGACTAGGGACCACTTGACCAGGGACCAATTTGTCTAGGGACCACTTGACCAGGGACCACTTGACCAGGAACCACTTGACCAGGAACCACTTTGACCAGGGTTCACTTGATTAGGGACCACTTTGACCAGGGACCACTTGACCAATGATTACTTTGACCAGGGACCACTTGACCAATGACTACTTTGACTAGGAACCACTTTGACTAGGGACCACTTTGACCAGAGATCACTTTGATTAGGGACCACTTGACCAGAGACCAATTTGTCTAGGGACCACTTGACCAGGGACCAATTTGTCTAGGGACCACTTGACCAGGGACCACTTTAACTAGGAACCACTTTGACTAGAGATCACTTTGATTAGGGACCACTTGACCAGAGATCACTTTGATTAGGGACCACTTGACCAGGGACCAATTTGTCTAGGGAACACTTGACCAGGGACCAATTTGTCTAGGGACCACTTGACCAGGGACCACTTTGACTAGGAACCACTTTGACCAAGGACCACTCTCCAACATTAGTACCAAATGGGTTACGAATCAGTTTTTGGTCAACCTTAGATTTGGTTTGGTTATTTGGGGTGCTGATTCAGAAAATTGCATTTGATACATCTCATCAGCTTTAGTTTCTGATACAGAACATATGCTATCCAGTAGTCACCATCTGCTCACCACAGAAAACCATATTTAATAATCTAGAGCCGCGGACCTTATTTTAGGTCTCGCAGTCCACCGGTTGGGAACCACTGCTCTTGATTATTCAAAGCAATGCATGTTTGTACACAAAGTTAGGTTCAGAATATAAATGTTTATATTTTACCCACAACAAGCATTCCTTAGTTTGCTTGTTCTTACTTGTTTACACTTCTCTCCAACTAAGTGTCCTCATACATAGTTCTTTCTAACTATGGTCACTTAGTATTTCTAACTATGGTCACTTAGTATTTGTTTCTGGAGAATGTGTTTTGAATGTTCTTTTGATCCAGTTGCTATATCTCTAGAATGTATACACGAATTGTTGTGAAAGCATGACTGTTTAGCAACTCCCATTATGCAACCTTGTACATCTTTGAATTTAAGAGAGCTGTGCAAGCTTTCATAGGCTTCATCTGATGTCTTCAAATATATGGGGTTTAGCCCCCAGAACAGACTTCAGATTTTTATGAGCAGACGGTATGAATAGCCATAGAAATACAAAACTTGTGGGCATCATTAAGGATGGCCCTTGACGGAGAAAGGCAGAAAGGTGTTGCCTAAGGCCAGGGTGGGTAGATAATCAAGGAATGACTGGAATGCAGTTGGGAATCAGAAAGGAGGTAAAGCAACCTTATGCAGCTGGGCAATACCAGTGTTATGTAGTAAGATTCCTGTATCATTGGAGGATATGTTCTTAACCAGACTACAGTTAGTGGAACCCATGAATATGACTGAATGCCCATAAATCTCCTGAATTCTGGTCCCAGGATACCATAGCACTTTGCTAGATCCTCCAACATAATTTTATAGTAACATCCAGGGGATGAATGGCATAGAATCATCTGGAAGACCCAACAAAGTTCTAGAGAGATCATTTCCCTATGGACACAGATAGGTGAAATCACAGGTATGGGTTCCGGGATCACGGGATCTTGTGATATGTGTAATGTGCCAGGAAAATATCATCTCTGTTCAGCACACTGCTAATAGACTGGAATCTGTGGATATATTCCACTTCAGTGAAGACATCTGCCCTTGCACTATGCTACTCTGCTGCTGAGTACGCACGCCCAGTGTGGAACACATCTCACCACGCTAAAACAGTAGACGTGGCTCTTAATGAGACATGCCGCATTATCACAGGATGTCTGCGCCCTACACCACTGGAGAAATTACACTGTTAGCCAGTATTGCACCACCTGAGATCTGCCAAAAAATAGCAGCCAATTTCTCAACTATATTCCCATCGCAATCTCAGTGTTTGGCTTCTTTCCTAGTTTTCCCCTGTAGCTTATTCCCTAGCTCCCCTCCATACTGTTCCTCAGTTTAGATCAATGTCACCAGGGCAGTGACATCTCTGACCCACCCCCTGTTCAGATATCAGTCAGAACACCAACACCTTAAATCAAGAAAGAGCTTCCTAAGATCTACAGAGACACTCGCTGGAACACCTCAGCAAGCGAGAGTCCAAAAGTGGCAGGCTCAAACCCAGAACCTCAATCAATGGCTGATACCATGTGAGAGACTCCCCCCTGGGCACACAGAACACTGGGCAACTTGGAAGGCGCTGAACAGACTGCGCTCTGGCACCACGAGATGCAGAGCCAACCTTCAGAAATGGGGCTACAAAGTGGAATCCTCGACATGTGAGTGTGGAGAAGAGCAAAGCAGCCAGGATGTTAACTGGGGCCCATTACAGAGAGAGGTCAACCCTCCTGTTTAAGGAGCTCCACTGGCTGCCGTTTATTTTCCGAGCCCAATTTAAGGTGCAGGTGCTTACCTACAAAGCCCTGAACGGTTTGGGACCACCCTACCTGCGTGACCGCATCTCCATCTACGAACCCACACGCTCGCTCCGGTCATCTGGGGAGGCCCTGCTCGTGATCCCACCTACGTCGCAAGCGCGCTTGGTGGGGACACGGGACAGGGCTTTCTCTGTGGCGGCCCCCCGACTTTGGAATGCCCTTCCAAAAGAGCTCCGTCAGGCCCCTACTCTAGCAGTTTTCAGAAGGAACCTAAAAACTTGGCTGTTCCGATGTGCCTTCGCAGATTAGGAATCCCCCATCCCAAGTCCTAGAAGCACTTTAGCACAACCAATGTTGCTGCACACCGCACTTTTAATCCTACGTTCCTCCTGCCATCTCAGCACTTTTAACCCCTGTACCCCATTGCACCGGCCGAACCAGTTTTAATAGTGTCTTGATGTATTGATGTATTGTTCATTGTTGTTATTTTGCTTAATTGTTTTGATTTGCTTTGTTTATTGTTGTGTTATATTTTCTATTGTATTGTGTTTGAGGCTTCGGCCCATGTGAGCCGCATCGAGTCCTTCGGGAGATGCTAGCGGGGTACAAATAAAGTTAATAATAATAATAATAATAATAATAATAATAATAATAATATGACACATCAAACCAATCACCCGAGGCATTCCAAGTGACCAGCTACTGGTCAAAGGACAATTAGTATAATGCCAAGTTTTTAAACTTTGTGTTTTTTAAAACTACATTACAACTGTACCCTTGGTTTTCTCCTAATAAGATAAATAAAAAATAAAATTCCACTTCAGCTGTTTCTCTTTCCAACCATCCTTTGTTGTGACAACCAGGAAGCAAATTACCTGATTTCATTTGGAGCTTCTTCTTCTTCATATTTCCTCTTCTCTTTTCTCTTGATGGTTAGCCACACGACCAGGAAAATCAGGGCCAGACCTCCCATGACTCCGCAGACTGCTCCGGCAATTATTCCAAAATTTTGTGCATCTGTTAATGTACAAAGACATATTGTATTATATTTGTGAGAGAATAAAAATATTACCATTTAGGCCTCCTATCAGTGGTGCAAATTCCATGTAGCACAGCTTGTTGTGCAGAAGTTCTTATTCTTTTGCTTAAACATTGCTTTACAACACTTATGTTGCCATGCCTTGCTGGCTTATTATAGTCAGGGTTAATTGATAAAGGAGAGGGAGAGGTGCTGGGCTAATATTTAGAGAAAAATAACAAAAGGCCAAGGTGATGGTTCAAGTCCTGGACACATGTCTCGTTACTCTGAAGTCCTGCAAAACTACACATCTAGTTCTAAAATTCTGTAAGATTGAGGTACGTAACATGTCTTTTGAGTTCCATTTAGATCCATTTCCAATTATTATTCTTAAAAAAAAAAAAACATGGCTTGTATACTTACATTGAACTGTCACCTCTACCACACAGTTCTCCTGCCCTGCTTCATTGGAGGCAGTGCATTGGTATAAACCTGTGGCGACCCAAGTGAGGTTTTTCATAAAAATTTGCGCAGGATTGGAAAGGTCTGGAAAAGAGAAAGCATCAATTAATTTGGCCCCACAACAAGATCTAATCAAGGTATATAATTTGGTAACAGAAAGTAAAGGTAAAGGTTTTCCCCTGACATTAAGTCCAGTCGTGTCCAACTCTGGGGATTGGTGCTCATCTCCATTTCTAAGCCAAAGAGCCGGCGTTGTCCGTAGACACCTCCAAGGTCATATGGCCGGCATGACGGCATGGAGCGCTGTTACCTTCCCGCAGAGGAAGTACCAATTGATCTACTCACACTTGCATTTTTTTGAACTGCTAGGTTGGCAGAATAGTGGGAACTCACCCCGCTCCCCGGATTCGAATCACCAACCTTTCGGTCAGCAAGCTCAGCAGCTCAGCAGTTTAAGTAATTAATTTATTTACTGCATTTCTCAGCCTGAAGGCGACTCAAAGTGGTTAACCCTAATGCAAAGTGGCTACTATTTTATTGTTACATGCTTTTAAATAATTCCTGAGCTGTGAAGACCCCAAGGCCATGAGGATTTCTTGGTAAGTTCTGTGCAGAGAGCATTTGCCCTTGTCTTATTTTGAGACTGAAATAGTGTGACCAAGTAGGTTCAACAGTTGAACACTGATTTAAGCCTTGGTTTCCAGAGTTCAGTGCCAAAACCATTAACTCATGCTAGTTCAGAGGTAATAAAAACATAGAAAATATGAATATTATGAGAATGATTCTGTTTAATGTGTATTTGTTCTAGTTTAGTTTTGAAAATTGGTCCAGACCTCAAGGAAGGGGAAGTGGGAAGCTAGATATTCTTAGTTATACTTTTACAATTAGAGATTATAGATTTTCCAGAATTGATATAGAATGTACACATGCACATGCATTAAGCAAAACAGCCAGCAACTTTGCCTGAATTCCTCACTTTAAATATGTGCCAAATTGAGTCAGGCTGGATCTACACTATCATATAAAGCAGTCTGGAACTGCATTATATGATCAATGTAGACACATACAATGCAGTGTAACTGTATTGAATTGCATTATATGAGTCTATACTGACTATATAATACTGTTCCAAACTGCATTACATGGCAGTGTAGATCCAGCCCCAAAGTCCTATCAAGGAAGCTTTGCTGAAGGTTGACACAATAATGACTTACTGATATGGGCCATGGGTGGCAAGGACCCAATTTTCCCTTCCTCATCGATACGTTGCCATGTGTACATTATAGGCATTGTCCCAGAGATCGCATTGCACTGTAAGGCAATTTCTTTTCCTTCAGACATCTCTCCTTCTTTCCAGCATTTGGGTTTGGAAGGTTTTTCTGGGGAGGAAGGAAAAGAAGATAAGATTTTCAGCATATATTATAACCTCCATATCCAAGACACTCCGTAAATACCCCAAAACTGTGGATAATACTGAACCCTATGTGTTGACTATACTTGGCTGGAAGCATGCCATAGAATGATGCTAGATAGGCTTGCGAAGACTTTGGGGAGATATTTTTGGAGCAAGAGGAAGTGAAATGGTGGCTCTCGAATCTGCGGATAAGGTGGTCTTAGTGTAATCCCAAACCAAAATAATTTTGTACTTGCAATCTGTAAAGAAGCCTTACCCAGAACCTTCAGAGTGATATGGCTCCACTCATATTGTCCAGCGTTTTTAACTTTGCAGGTGTATTGCCCAGCGTCACTTGGCTGCAAGAGGGAAATATCCAAAGAAGCATCTCCATCTTGAAAATTGGAGGCAAAAGAAACACGGCCTTTTTGCTCTTCAATCAGGTCATTGTAGATGTTGCCTCCTGCGTAAGTGATCACCTAAAAGGCAACAAACAGTCATGGATCAGCTAACTTCTCCCTCCTTTTGCCATGGTTAGCTTGGCTGAAATGGCAACTGGGCACAGCTTACAAGCATGAGATGCTAAGCCTCTTTGAGTTTTGATGGGATTATAGTAAAAGTATAATTTCCATTTCTAAGCTGAAGAACCGTAGATGCTTCCAAGGTCACATGGCTGGCATGACTGCATGCAGTGCTGTTACCTTCCTGCATAAGTGGTACCTATTGATCTACTCACATTTGCATGTTTTCGAACTGCTAGGTTGACAGAAGCTTGGGCTAACAGTTGGAGCTCATCCCGCTCCCCGGATTTGAACTGCTGACCTTTCAGTCAGCAAGTTCAGCAGCTCAGCAGTTTAACCCGCTGTGTCACCAGGAACTCCAAAGGATGAGATTATAATCCTATAATAATTATTATTATGTTCATAGTAAAGGTAACGGTTTTCCCCTGACATTAATTGCAGTTGTGTCCAACTCTGGGGTTTGGTGCTCATCTCAATTTCTAAGCCGAAGAGCGACATTGTCTGTAGACACCTCCAAAGTCATGTGGCCAGCATGACTGCGTGGATCCTCGTTACCTTCCCGCCAGAGAATACCTATTGATCTCACATTTGCATGTTTTTGAACTGCTAGCTTGGCAGACTACTAGGTTGTTCATACTTCACATAAATGATAAGGAATAGTCAAAGAGTTGCAATGAAATGCTTTTTTAGTAGAAATATATTTACACTGGTTCAGTTTTAATGTTATCAGCTGAACTTGTTGGTTAGACCTTACGTAAAGGTGATCTAAGTTCATGTAGAGCTAACATTTTCAGATTGTGCTTATCTAAGTAAACATGTATGCACTTGAGTTGAATTTTAAGCAGGTGGAGTTTTTAGGATCAGCAGAATGCAGGCTATTGACAAATCTCATTTTCTCTAGATTTTGGAACATCTATATTTACATAAATGGCCATAATGAGATCTCTTGGAGATGGAACTCAAATCGGAACATGGAATTAATTTATGTTTCATATGATACATTTTTAAAAAAAGTAATGTTGTGCATGGTACACATTTTGTGAGCCATTAGAGAGCAAAGGTGTCCGAATCCCAGCCATCCATGTGGGCAATTTCGGAATATTTCTGAATTCCAGATTCAGATGCTGAACCTGGAATCACAGTTACGTGGTTTTCCTTCCCTCGTATTGCCCAAATGTAGTACTGTTTGTGAGGTTTCCATAGCAACTCAATTTCTACGATTGTAAAACTACATTTTTTTCTGCACGTCCTTTGTGCAAAGGTGAGAGGAGCATCTTTTATTCTTCATTTTGGAGCAATAATGGTTGGGGGCAAGGCAATGAGAGGTGCTGAGTGTAAGTACCACTTTGGGTTCGGCCTCTGAATCCTTCAGCAGCCATTCGATGTCAAGGCTTGTGGACTCCAGGAGGTGCAGCCGGTGATGGCAGGGCAGCGTCACATTGGCTTCAGCCACTCTTTTAAATTCAGTTTGTGCTTGCGACATCCAAGCTGAACAGGATGCTGAAAGAGGAAGAGCAAGACAAGTTTTCTTCGGAACCTAATCTCTATAATGCTTGACATTCTTGTTTTACATTGTCAGCTGAAAGCATCTTGGTTTTGTGCCCTGAAATGCCCTGTCCGCCACCCTTCTACTTACACAATCTGCTTAACTTTTTGGGCGATCCTTGGCAGATTATTATAACTTTACCTTCTACACCTGGATGTTTTTTGCTTGCCAGTTTTTAGTTCTGAATGGTTTTGGAATCTAAGCAATGGATTCTCTCAAGATGTGAGAGAATTTGCTAGGTGATGGAAAGCCCTTTCAATTGATTGGTTGGCTTTGAGACAGAGACAAAGGTGCATCTATCTACACAAGTGGTTCCCAACATTGTTTTGACCAGGGACCACTTTGACCTGGGACCACTTTGACCAGAAACCACTTTCCAAAATTAGTACCAAAAGGGTTGCAAATCAAGTTTTTGGTCAACTTTAGATTCAGTTTGGTTATTTGGGGTGCTGATTAAGAAAATTGCATTGAATAGACCACATCAGCTCTAGTTTCTGATACAGAACATATGCCATCCAGTAGTCACCATTTGCTTGCCCACAGCAAACCATATTTAATAAGCCTCGGTACTATAAGAGGGTTTTGCGAGACCAGTCGCTCTCATTGCAATGGTGCAGTAACCATATATTAGTTCTTGTGGATCACTGTTAGTCCACAGACCACAGGTTTGGAACCACTGACCTACACTGTAGAATTAATGCAGTTGGACACCACTTTAACTGTCACGTGGATGGCCAGTTACATTTCCAATGCAGCTTGATGCTAAATGTTCACTATTGTTGCTTGATTTGCCACTAATCTCCAAAGGAAAAAAAAGATGGCAAACATAACATTCCATGCTTGTAATTGGCCACGGTAGTCCACGCTCTCGTTACATCTAGGATAGACTACTGCAATGCACTCTACGTGGGGTTGCCTTTGAAGACTGCTCAGAAGCTTCCAATAGTCCCCTTCGGGGTGAGAAGGGCGGAATATAAATGTTTTAAATAAATAAATAAATAAATAAATAAATAAATAAATAAATGTTAGTCAACGCACATGCAATTAATGTAAACTTTTGCACACAACTGATGCAAACTTTTGCATGATTCTTCCAGAGTGGACCACTAGAGGGACCCAGATACTTATGTGAAAAACAGATCAGGAAAAGGCGCATAGACAAAGCAAAACCTAGGCTGCAACAACACTGCCATATAATGCAATTTGAATCTGCATTATATGGTCAGTGTAGTCCCATATAATGCAGTTTAACAGCAGATTCAAACTGCATTACATGGCAGTATCGATCCAGCTATAGACAACCTGGCATTTAGTCCCTTTTTCGTGAGAAAAGACATGATGATACCCTTCTAATGGCTTATTTTGATTGCATTGTGTATATATAATTATTATATTTTCATATAAGCCAGGAGAATAGAGAGGGAAAAGATTAATAAAATAACTAGTCAAATTCTATTAAAATAATACCGCAGTGAAAAATTCATATGTTTAAAAACATTCATTTGGGTTTGCATTAGAAAGAGGCAAATTTCTATAGCTTTTGGTTCTTCACTTCTATAAGAATCCAGCTCAAGTATTCCTTATCCAAAATGTTTGGGACCAGAACTGTTTTGGATTTCAAATTTTCTTCAGATTTTGGAATAATAATTAGATATCTTGGCGATAGAACCCAAGTCTAAACACACAATTAATTTATGAATTAAAAAATGAACAAAATCTGGCTACCAGTATTAAAAAACTCAAAAATTACAACAGCAAAACAACAGAGGGGAAACAAACAGGCACAGAAAATCACTCTCAACAAAAGATCCCCCCCAGGGACTTTGAAGCCATTGAATGCTAATCAAGACCTCACTACCTCTGAGAATGCTTGCCATAGATGCAGGCGAAACATCAGGAGAAAAACTGCCTCCAGAACATGGCCATATAGCCCAGAAAAACCTACAACAACCCAGTGATTCCGGCCATGAAAGCCTTCGACAATACAATTCATTTATGATTCGTACATATATCCTAAAGGTAACTTTATACATCAGTTTTTTAATAATTGTATGCATGAAACAAAGTTTGTGTATATTGAATCACCAGAAAACAAAGGTGCTACTATCTCAGCCACCCAAACTTACAGTTTTGGAGCATTTCAGATTTCTGGGAAAGGGATGTTTAACCCATACATAGACATTTTATTATATCTCTTCTTGTTGTTATATCTTAGCTTCAGAGGTATGTATACCTTTCATGGTCTAGATCAGAGCTTTCCAAACATTTCATGTTGGTGAAGCACTTCTGAAATATGCATCATTTTGTGACACAGTAATTCAGTGTTACTTGGAAACCGAAGGTTAAACCAATCCCTTAGAAGGGATGCAGGCACATACATAAAGTGCAATAAAGAAACATATCATAGAATAGAATCACAGAGTTGGAAGAGACCTCATGGGCCATCCAGTCTAACCCCATTCTGCCAAGAAGCAGGAATATTGTATTCAAAGCACCCCTGACAGATGGCCATCCAGCCTCTGTTTAAAAGCCTCCAAAGAAGGAGCCTCCACCACACTCCGGGGCAGAGAGTTCCACTGCTGAACATCTCTCACAGTCAGGAAGTTCTTCCTAATGTTCAGATGGAATCTCCTCTCTTGTAGTTTGAAGCCATTGTTCTGTGTCCTAGTCTCCAGGGAAGCAGAAAACAAGCTTGCTCCCTCATCCCTGTGACTTCCTCTCACAACCTTTCATTTATAGTTATACAAAATATATGATTTTTTGCTTATTTCGGAGAGACTCAGGTTTCTTGTGACATTTGTTCAACAATGACATACTAATGTGTCACAACACACAGTTTGGAGAGCTTTGGTCTAGATGTTCTGCATCAGAGTTCAATATTCTGATATACAAGACTGGTGTTGCTGGAAGAAAGGCATACATGTTGCAATATGATGGACAGGTTGCCATGCATTGCATAGTAAAAGTTCCATGCATAATAATAATAATAATAAGAAGAAGAAGAAGAAGAAGAAGAAGAAGAAGAAGAAGAAATAGTTCCAGTGAATCATTTGGGCCACAGAGTTGTGCCTTTGTTTGTAGTCTGTCTGTGCGATTTTCTTGCAACAGCTGAGGATATGATGAAACCATGGATCATATCCTCAGCTGTTCCAAGAAAATTGCATAGACGGACTACAAACAAAGGTACAACTCTGTGGCCCAAATGATTCACTGGAACTTATTTCACAAGTACCACCTACCAGCAGTAAAGAATTGGTGGGATCATAAACCTGCAAAGGGAGTAGAAAATGAACACGCAAAAATCCTGTGGGACTTTTGAATCCAGACTGACAATGTTTTGGAACACAATACACCAGACATCATGATTGTGGAAAAGAAAAAAAGTTTGGATTATTTATGTCGCTATACCAGGTGACAGTCGCATTGAAGAAAAACAACAGGAAAAACTCAACCATTATCAGGACCTCAAAATCGAACTGCAAAGGCTCTGGCATAAACCGGTTCATGTGGTCCCAGTGGTCATCAGCACACTGGGTGCCATGCCAAAAGATCTCATCCGGCATTTGGAAGCAATAAACATTGACAAAATCACAATCTGTCAACTGCAAAAGGCCGCCTTACTTGGATCTGCATCATTTGAAAATACATCGCACAGTCCTAGATGCTTGGGAAGTGTTTGACTTGTGATTATGTGATACGAAATCCAGCATATAGATCTCGTTTGCTGTGACATACTGTGTCTTTGTTTCAGTGAAATAATAATAATAATAATAATAATAATAATAATAATAATCAAACTTTATTTATATTCTACCCGATCTCTCCAGAAGGACTCAGGGCAGATTCCAAACGTAAAAGGCAAACATTCAATGCCCGAACACAACAATAATACAGAAGTAGAAGGAGCTGGGACAGGTATAAAATGACTTATCTTGGAAAAACCCATAAACCGAGCAATGTAAAAAAAAAAGTGGTGCTGTTGTGGTTTTTTAATGCACACTTAGGTTGGATATTGGCTGAACATTGTGTGAGAATACTTCATCAGTAATACGCTGGCTGTGTCCAGATTATGTGCATGCTGGGACATCTGCTGTTTGTATTCCTTGGCTAGCAACGGCAGAAAGGCTATAGGTCACCATCTCCCGAGAGCAGGAAGGCTCACAATGACTGGGACCCCTTCCCGCTTGCATGATGCCTGGAGTCCGCTCTCCTAGGCTGCCCTGTGATTTCAGGAATTCAGTGGAGAGGCCGAGGCGTCTGGGCCGAAACATGTTTTAGTGCCGTCGGCTCCCCAAGAGACCTGCCAAGCTGTGCTCAAAACAAAGAGGTCGGCAAGGCCCATCCGTAGAAACGGAGCAGCTCAGAGTCCTGCCTAATTTGAATCATATGTGGTAAGGACTAAGTTTTCTAAAGCCTGTCTTACAGAAAGATAAATTGGAAGTATTTTTTTCCACCCCTTCAAACTATGATGCGAGGCATTTGGAATCTGAGCAGTCGAGTCAGGATGAATTAAGTCAAATGGAGAAAGCAAAACAGAAGGATATTTTAAAAGCAACACGTAATTAGAAGAAGAACAAGAAGGAAACAGCAATGTGATCAGCGCCATGCATAAATTCTCACTCCTCAAAATATTGGTGTCTGCGAGCAGGTGTGGGTGTCTAGTCGTCCATTATTTTCTCAATTCCTTCCCAACATGACTACAAGCATAGAAAATATAAGGAAACGTTGACACAAGAATGAGTGGATGCTGAAATACTGAAATGACTGTTGGAGAACAGTGCTGAGAGTATGGCATACCATAGAAATATGACATAGAGGGATCACATTTTTAATTTGACGTTTTGACAGAAAGAGATAAGAAGTAAACATTGCAGAATAGCAAACATAATTCAGGCACAAACGTGGGACAAGCATTATGTGGTGAAACCAGCTGATTGTGATAAAATCACAACAT